TACACACAAACACACACACACACACACACACACACGTATCAATCAGCGAAAACCTCTCGGCTTGGGCATCGGCCCCACCTTTTGTGCTTATGGTAACCACACACCCAGACAGATTACTTTTCATGTCATTACACCATGTTAAGTGTCATTTCTTTCATTTTCACTTTTAGTTAACCAAAGTGGAAAGAAGAAACCTGACCCTGTGCACCTATCAAACCTGGCACTTATGGAAGGGCTATGCTATTCGGGAGGGTTTGATTCATGCCCTGTTGAATGCTCAAGCCTCAACCGGAGCAAACTCCATCTAGATATGTTTAAGTTTTTTGATACTAATTGGAGCTGGGATCACCGTTGCATGGATGTTCAAAGGAAACATTATTCCAATCTTGCAAGGCACAAAAGCCTGTACGGGAACAGCAAGGGCCTCTGCCTGGGAGAAAACTGTTTCAAAGACGCTTGTCGCCGTATATACAAGAAGTGTGTTTAGTTTTAATGCTGAGATGAAAACAGAGAAGAAAATATACATATTCGAACGTTTCAATATGTCAGTTATCGCATGTGTTGAATATACCGTGCTTTATCAATCTGCCGTTTGAATATAGCTACCATATACCGGGTTTGTGGTTCAATTACTGGTATTTACTCCGGGAATGCGAAACTTGTAATAATTTACTCAACTGAACATGGTGGTTGTGAAATGAAATGATATTACTAACTGGTCTGTCACTTCAAGAAAAAAAAACTTCCATTGAGTTTAGCTAGCAATGATTTCCAGACATTCCGCCGAAACAAATAGTCAGGATTACGTCATGGTAAAACAGACACTATTTGTATGTCGCATATAAATGTCAAAATATTTTCCCACGGGTATGTATGGTTTACGGATAAACATGTATTGCCCTGAAGCTGCAAGCTCTTATGGAACAGAACAAGGCTGACGGGAATACATCCGTGCATTCTCGTATCCGAATAGTTTGGCATATAGCATAGCAAACACAACTAACACATGTACAATTTAGTCTGCAAGTGCCAGTATCACAGGAACGGTAGTCCTAGCAATGGTAGTCCTGGCTCCCATATGATAAGTACAGGTTAGGGTTAATTGGAGTATTGGGGTTTGTATATAGGACGAATGTCATCTGCACAAAGTAGTGGGAAGTATAGGGGTTAGTATATAGGACGAATGTCATCTGCACAAAGTAATGGGAAGTATAGGGGTTAGTATATAGGACGAATGTCATCTGCACAAAGTAATGGGAAGCGGACAGCGGTTCCTTTCCTGTTATTCCTGTTACGCCGGCTACCTCCAGCATGTGCATTGGCATATTCTTTAGTTTCACATCACTTACCATAAACTAAATTTCCTTTATATCATTGTTTTCACTTTCTCATTTTAATGGTCAGCGAAAAGATATTGACAAAGAATATCGCCTAAAGGCGTCTGGCGGGAACAAAAATAAAGCCATATGTATTAGCAATGCAATATCTTATTTTTATTATATATTGTTCAATGCTGCATACAACGTTTAGGGCTTTAGGCTGCGTTCACATGAAAAATCTATTTTCTAAAAATCTAAAAAATCTATTTGCGGTATCTTGTGATCACGGTCTGTGCCCTGAATACCCCGCGGCGTAATTACTGGCAACGCCGAGAATTAATTACAGCTTTGGAAGTAACTGGCTCGCGCCGCCCGTAATAACGCCAAGGGGTATTCAGGGCACAGATCGTGATCACAAGATACCGCAAATAGATTTTTAGATTTTTAGAAAATAGATTTTTCATGTGAACGCAGCCTTAGTCCAAAACATGCAACCAAGCAGTTCGAGGTGATATTTTACGGTTCCGACCTTTTCAGAGTACAGTCAGGGACCATGAAATACTAGATTGAAATACTGAACATTGCTGACAGAATCTTGCCCAAAGAAATAGTGGTGAAATAAAAATTATGATCCCACAGAACGAATCGTTATTATGTCCAAGTTTTCAATAAGCGTACCAAAGATATGTATTATCATACTTGGTATATTGGCATAATAAGTGAAAATAAACTTTTCACTGATGAAAAAATATTTTAAAATACAAGAATGTAATCTGCTTTGACACAGTTTATGCCAAAGAAAAATGTGCAACACGCACTGGTGTTCGGGTCAGTTCTCATAAATAAAGAGAGTGGCACACAAGCCATAGCCTCATAAATGATAATTGCCGTTGTTATCTCGAGCAGAGAGTTTGTGATTGCGAACGCCGGTGTTTTAAAACTGAGAGTCCGGCGGACTCCCTGTCTCGAAATAACGGGTCCCGGACTCTATGTTCTGAAATGTAGAGTCCGGTTAAATGCAGGGTCCGGGGGACCCTGTATATTATATCCAATTACCATGATACAAGGTCCGGGACCCATTATTTCAGAAACCAGGGGTCCTACGGACCCCTGGTTTCTGAAATAACGGGTCCCGGACTTTCTGTCATGGGGGACCTTCTGGTACATGACACCGGATAAACGAACTTCGGAAGCTGAAAGATTGTGTACTCTATGTAAATTAAGAGAGATGGAAAATGAAATCAATAAGTACACATCACATGATTAAATGAATGAATACGCATAATAAAATAGTTTAAAACATAACCAAGTTATAACGGTTCAAATTAGTACGAGTTATATCACGAAGGAAGTGTGATTTTTATTTCGAGCGATTGGTAGTCAATCAAAGGTGAAAACATATTTCACGGAACGCATAAGAACATTCGCAAGCAAGTCCATTTTTTGTTGTACATAGGTGTTTTAATCTAAAAAAAATGAATAGAAAGAATATTATTATATTGGTTAGTTATTGATATCTGAGGTGTCTGAACACAGTAGCTGGCGGTGATATTACTTGGCTTCTTTATTTTTTAACATAAGGGCTACAGGTCTGGCACGCAGGCAGGGATAGTTTCGGACGATCTTCCGGGCTACTCTCTCTCTCTCTCTCCTGTCAGCTATCTTACAGCTACCTGTAGGGTCGATCCACCGTCTCCACCAGAGCCGAGAGAAACGGATTTTATGGAGATCATACTGATTCTTGCCTGCCCCAAATCTATCAGGCGTGTCTGATATGTACTCTGTACCAGGGTGGCAGATATTATAGGCACATTTTCCACATTTCCAGACGACCAAACGACCGTCTATTTATTCAAAGACATATCTGTGAATATCTTGTGAAAAATCAATTTGTAGCCCTGGTAGAGGAGAAGAAAGTCTAATTTTACTGATTAATTTTTTTATATTGAGCTAGAATTGGCTTCGCAAGGTAGGATTGCATGGTAACACGATCAATGAGGTGTCTATATAGCCACCATTTCCGAGATCCGTTTATGTCAGAAAATATAGCTTGCTGTTGGATATCCATTAATTTTTGTTTAACTTGAGAGACCATAAACTTTTCATTGTAACTTGGATAAAACCAAAATTCACGGAAACCTGTTTCTATAAAAATGTCATGCACCTTAGAAAGCCAGTTACCACATGGTGTATTATTCATACATTTACTGTATCTCCATTCATAAGATATAGGTTAAACATTCTTGTAAGATGCAGTTATTTGTTTTCCTCAATTTCAACCAATATTTTATTATTCTTGTTTTCCTAGTACAAAGGAAACCTTCCCAATTCAGCATAGATCGTTGCATCTGAAGTTGAACGCTTACCCCCTAAAATAAATTTCCCAAAGTCCAAGTAAACTTTTTCGAGGTCTGGTGCACGATGGTGCCCACAGACTTCACATCCATAGTAAGCAATATATATAAGTATCAAATAATGAAAGAGCAGTGCTGGCTCATATCAGTGCACTTTCTATACAGACTAAACATCGCTTTACGACACTGCAAGGCTAATTGTTTTGGAGTTTTGAAGAATTTGTCATTAAAATTCAGAATAATACCCAAATAGCAAAATTCATAGACAATTTCAAATTGTTGACCCTTATACATGTATGACCAAACGTCGTCTACTTTTAAACAACCACCATTCCTAAACACCAATATCTCTGTTTTTTACATTTACAGTCAAAGACCATTTATCAGCATACAGTACATTGCTAATGAGTCCAACATGTTTTGTAATCCTATTGCAGAATCAGCAAACAAAACTAAATCATCCACATACATGAGTAAAAAAAGTGACAAGTCTTTCATCTCATCTGGTTGCATACCATTTTTTAAAAATTCTAATTCACAGTCATTAACATAAAGTGAAAAAAGTATAATGAAGTGAGATAGTCAACTCTCATGTGTTTGTGTTATTATACGCGGACACCGCCCAAATGGTGGTTTAACTCTAAAATATATATATTTTTTTTTGTCCTACTTACACACAAGATTAATAAAACTAAGTTCTGGGATAATGTTTTTTTACTATAGTTGCCCTAAACATGAATATATTCTCCGGTTACATAACACTCAGACCTGGTTAAAACCAAATTAGCGTAGGCATGGTGCCTGCGTTCGGTAAGTCAAAGAAAATTGCTGTTCACCTCATGAAAATTCTTTTCTTTTTGGTCAAAATGAACAGTTGCTTTGAATTTTATAAAACTTAGTTCTGGGATAATATTTTTTTTACTATAGTTGCCCTAAACATGAATATATTCTCCGGTTACATAACCTTACCATGTTATAATATCAAACAATACAGAAAGGTGCCTTGCATTTTCAAAACTCCATCCACACTTATACGTACGGATCTTGAATACATATATTTACAAGGTTACAGAAAGACGGGATCCCACCATCCAATATTTCTCACACATACCAAAAGCTTCGACAAGATACATATAATATATTGGCATGGGGCTCAAGTTGTGGATATTTTCTCTTTTTAAGGAGATAAGGGAAGGCAATATCAGGAACGCGGTTCATTCAAGCGAGACGGGGTATCCTACGAATCTGCCTATAAGTCATATCATACAACATTATTTACCTGCTGATAAACAGGTAGCAAGGATTAAGTCTGAAATTCAGAATTATATTAATAGTACAAATCCAGAAAATTCTGGACCACGGCTGTCAAAGCTGCCACGTAGGTGGCACGTTCAGATGTACGCAAGGCATACGGTGATTCAATTTGTATGGCATCAATGGCGCCACCATTACGCGAACCATACGTCTTCACCGTGTAGCCCCCACTGAAGTAGTTCCCTGATCCGGGTGACGTGTTTCCCGGGGATGGAACAACCTGGTACCCATGATTACTCAGTAAACCGCCAAAGCTGTTGTTACCACGTAGAAGGGCGTCAAAATTCATGTTTGTACTGTGACTGTTGTACAAGGAGCGAATGGAAGAGAGGGTGGGTTCGAGATTGTTTTCATTGAGTCGTTTTTTGCTCATCAAGTAGCCCAGTTCAATCCACTTCTCAGGGTGGCTTTGCCCGTGAATGTCAAAGAGAAGCCCCGCACCGGTGATGTTGGCACGTGCGTCAGTGATGAATTTGTGGTATTCGTTAAATGCTGTCAAGGCAGCTGCAACGTTGAATGTTGCCTCCCCAATTTCTCGATTGGGGTCCAATTTTACTGAAAAAACGAGGCCCATTGCTCTTACAAAGTGGGGGGTTTATTCATATTTGCAATGAATGAATGCCTGAATAAACATATCACATATTTCCATTCATTAAAAAACCTTATGACAAATTTTAAAAAAATGCTTACAGATCATATATAATACAAAAGATCTATCAAATATCATATATCAAATATAAAAAACAATTTTGCAAGCAATTAACAATTTGGGTTCACTATGTCATCATATTGGCAACCAAATTAAAAAAAATAATAATATAATATAATATAATATAATATAATATAATATAATATAATATAATAATAGTATTTAGTATTTTGGATGCGGTATCGTTGTTGGGAAATTTGAAATTTGAGTCGAGGTTTTAGAACGTTGGGAACCGCCATGGTAACGTTGTATGGGAGGCAATGAAATACAAAAAGTGCATAAAAATCCGCAATACAATGGTTGAAGCATACCTCTACTTAGATGATTAACGATCAAATGTGGGCGCTTTCCCGTCTGAGTCTCCAAGGCTTTAGTGAGTTCTGTAGCCAGTTCCTTTGTTTTGGTGTCTCTCACCGTCTTGGCGGTACACTGAGAGCTAGTCGAACCACAGGTATGGGTCCAGATGCACGTTGACCCTGACAAACACCCTTTCGTTCTGTCGGGAATGCTGCTGGGTTTGAGATAGCCCCCATGTGCGGCTGTGATAATGACCTGGGAATCCGGCGTACCTGGAAAATAAAAAATATTATGACATGATCCTGAAGCTGTGCCATTCTGCAGTAATATCGATTGATAAAAATATCAAATTTGGATAAGTCGGCTCTCTCAAATTCTATTCATTTATACATGTAACTCCCTAAACAAAGTGTAATTAAACAATTTCCTCAGGATTAGAACAACAACAACAATTCTAATAACAAATGGTAAAAAACGTCTATGCAACATGAAAAACTATATGAATCGACAAAACCCAACTAATTAAAGATCACGTCTTCTTGATAACCATCTTTGTTGTTAAATTCATGTTTAATTCATTTTGTTTAATTGACCACAGAGAGGAAATTCTAGAAGTATCAACATATTTCTAATTCCTTGGTTTAGTGGTAACATGTTTGTTTGTATAAACACATGGATAACTGGAAATTACTGTAATTTCCCTTTCGAAATTACACACTTTAAGGGGGTTGCCTTATCTCAGTCCCGCCCCTTGGTCGCAGCTCGGCGTAAACAAAGTTCAACAAACGATTGAAATGAATGAATGAGGGATGAAAAGAAGAGGTTATAATGTAAATAAAATTTACCCAATAACTTAAAAACGAGCTTAAAAAATTATTCATTTAGGGCTGGTGATTCGACCCCCTCTCATATCTTTTCTATTCCATTCATAGTAAGGTGTTATTGCCAATGTAGTTTGAGTACTTCTTTGGTCTTTCTAGGAATTGCGGGACAGTAACATTTTGACCCTAAAATTACTGAACGGTTCATCTTTAAGAGACTCAAGGTCTATCTTTAAGAGACTCAGGGTCTTTCTTTGAGAAGCTCATCGATCGGTTAAACTTTATTGACGACGAAAATTGACCCAGTTCATACATAGTGCAACTTGTCATTTACAATGCATAAATAAATAAATGAATAAGTAAGTAAATAAGTAACTGATATTTTAATTGGCATTGTTGCCACTTCACCGATGTATCTGGTTAAGTTTTCCTTCTTGGTTTACTCGCTCTATTTGTCTAACGCCAGATGTGCAGCCAAACCTGTGTTTTGAAGGGTAGCTACGACAAAATGTCCTGCCCTTCTCATACATTTTATTTGTGTTAAGGTAAGATTGCAGGTTGGATATTATATCTTAAATTAAAATTTTTAGCTTTTTTTATTCCTGTTGCATTCATTTTATGTATCTTCAAAACATCTAATTATGCTTGAAACACAGCTCCGATTCCATCGTGTGACGTAATATTGGAATTTTTGGGCGAAAACATCATTTTCGGTTTCTTGATTTTCTCAGGCACCTGTACAGCTATTGACATGCTTTTAATGGTACATGTATTATAGCACTTGAACAAAGCACTACAAATGGGGTTCGGGGATTTTTTTACTGTTGATTTAATCTATAAATAAGTGATTTTTAGCCATATTCGAATACAGTCCCACCTTAACAAAAATATGTTTTCAAATACCATGCAAGTTGAGAAAAGGTTATTTTGAAATGCTACATACTTTGATATACACTGTAAAAATGAAACGTAATGAGAGGAGCTGATATTTAGAAATAAATAACTACCTGGGAAATACTCTACGTAGCCATTGGTTCCACTGATTCCTGACCCCTTTGCACAATTCCCCGCTAAAACGGCGATCAACGGCCACACGTAGACGTGAAAAAGGTGCATCTTCGCTTTATCAACAACGAGAGTCCTTTTGTGGGAAGTGTTAATCCGTGAAATGGCAATCCCATCTTATGGTGTTCTATTTATCTAAGTAAACTCTTCTTGATGACGTCATCGTAACCGTCATGAATATTAATGTCCGGCTTCCACAACCGGTATGTTAAAGGGAAGCAGGCCATAACATTCTGCACGGTTCTGTTATAAAGGAAAAACTTAAAACGTATATATAAAATGAAGAGAAACGTGCTTTACATATTTTTCATAGAAGTCATCCGAGCCTAGAACGAAGCCGGCGGCACTGTCTGGCACCATGCAAAACACGCTACAGGGTTCTGGCATAAAGGTAAATCTTAAACCGTATATTTAAATGAAGAGAAACATGCGTGTTTTAAATAATTTTCAAAAGAAATCACCCGAGCCTTGAACAAGGCCGGCGGCACTGGCTGGTACCATACAAAACATACTACACGGTTTTGTTATAAAGGTAAAACTTTGACCGTTTAAATAAATGAAGAGAAACGTGTTTTACATATTTTTTCATAGAAACCACCTGAGCCTAAAACAAGGCCGGCGGCGCTGTCTGGTACCATACAGAACATGCTTCACGGTTCTGCTATAAAAGAAAAACTAACCGTATATATAAATGAAGAGAAACGTGCTTTACATATTTTTAAAATAGAAATCACCCAAACTTAAAACAACCGGCGTCACTGCCTGGTACCATATCTGACTAGAAACAAACGTAAGAATTTGCTTAAGGGCTTACCTTTTATACTTGCAGCTTTTAGAGAAAATTGTACATGTTTGGGATATCGTCTTTAAAAAAAGCAAAATGAATGTAACATACAAAACTTAGTGTAGGTTCTGTTGTGCAAAAGAGTGTAATTTTACGAAACTACAATAAAACAACTAATGTAGACTAATATCTGGTGCAGCTTGGAGTAAACAAAAGTTCCACCACTACTTTTTTTCTTGTAAAGGAAATTACAGGAAATTAAAGATGTTTCTTTATTACCACTTTGAAAACCTTCAAAATTCTTCTATCATTTTATCTCATAACGGAAATCAATGCTGATGTCATACGATGATAAAACATTGCCTTTTGAATATTTTTAATCTCATCTCATCTCATCTCATCTATTCTGTTCTGTTCTACTTACATGTATTTCATTGTAGATAATATTCCTCTCTTTTGATAATGTTTCAATCTGCTTAGAATCCAGAATTTTAACAGATGTCCCGTCGATTCTATGGCTAGTGGTGAGGGGATGGTGAGGAATCCAATTTCTGGACAGCAGCAATAGGACGTTATCTCAACACCAGCCTAAGGGGGGGGGGGGGCTGTACTCAAATAGGGCTAAAATCATGTTTTATATACAGACTTGACATTTAATATGGACTATTTGAGTTTTAAAGGTATACCTAGGTAAAAATGCGTTTTTTTTCTCAAAAAACTCAGATCTCACATAAGATATCTGACTGGAGAGGTATGAAGGCAGGTGTGTCGCTACCAATTAACTGACTACCAAGTCTGTTGCACTGCTGCATTGTGTAATATGCAGTCATTTAATTGACTGGTGCTCCTTTGGGCTGGTCAAAGCTTGGCTTTGATGAAGCATGGTTCTGACAAAAAAGAATCCATATGTCGGCAATTACTGTATCGAAGAATTTGAAATATTGCTTGCAAACGGACTGTATTGAAGTGCGTGAAATGAGTTAAGCAGCGATTTATAAAATTATTAATCTGTGCCAGAATGGCGCGAAAAAGACAGACATTGCCAGACAAATTATTGTGTCAAACGGAATGGTCTGCACAGTTTTATAGAGTTATGCCCAGACTGATGTACCTACACAGAGGCCACGCCCAATGTATTGACATCTTACCACCAGGGTACAGGACTCCCTGTCCTTCAGGATATGTTGCTGCAATTAAACCAAAACAACCCAGTTCCACTAATGGAAGTCATCGATGAAAACCTGAACAAGATGAAATAAAGGAATACTCTGGGAACCACTTGACCATTATTTGATAGGCGGCACCTGAGGAACAATTTTAGGTTGCACTTTGAGGTTGCTGGTTCACACAGAGCACTTTTAACAGCAGATGACTTACAGAACCAAGGGAATGAGCAGCTACTTTGGTCATCAAAATCGCCATATTTGAACCACATAGACAATATGTGGGTAGGTCATTACTCACCGTATGAACGGCCTGCATGTCCTACAACGAAACGAAACCAAGTTTTAGCCGTTGCGTGGGATTTTATTCCAGATTTAACTCTAAAAACCCATCCTAAGGTAAGCCTTGCCGCTTGAAAGCTCTGGTAGCAGCCAGATGAGGTCAGGTGTAACAGCGACCATTGCTGTGACAAGACACTGACATGAGGGGCCTTTGTGGGGCGTGTAACTCTTTTAAAGACGATAATTTGGAAAATATGGAGATCCAAATTATCGCTTTCAATGGTTGTCGAATGACCTAAAATAGGCAATGTATTTTTGTTTGCTTCACTGGCGAATTCAATTTATGAACTGATGTCACAATGACGTCGAACAGATTATCAAAAGTTTTTAAAACACGATTTTAATCCTTATATTCATTTATCAGTCAGCAAAATAGGGAAAAACTGATTAATTATGATTTGGAGAAAATATTCCATATTAAATGTCAAGTCTGTATAAAATCAACAGTTAGTCTTTAAAGAAAAATCCCTGACCCCCTTTGTTAGTACTTTGTTCAAGTGTTATTATACCATTAAAGGCATATTTATAGCCGTCCAGGTTCCTGAGAAAATCAGGAAACCGAAAAATTAAGTTTTTTGCCCCCAAAATCCGAAAACTACGCCAAACGAACTTGGAGCTGTGTTTCAAGCACGAGTAGATGTTTTGAAGATACATTAAATGAATGCAATTTAACACTTCCCACTGTTGTAACTGATGTAGCTTCCATTCCTGCTTGTTTGCAATTATTACCTGGGAAATATTCCACGTAGCCATTGGTTCCACTGATTCCTGACCCCTTTGCACTATTTCCCGCTAAAATACCGAGCAACGGCCACACGTAGACGTGAAAAAGGTGCGTCTTCTCTTTATCAACAACGAGAGTCCCTTTGTTGGAACTGTTAACCCGTTTAAAGTCGAAATCAATTAGATGACTCTCTTACGATGTTCTATATACTGTATATTAGTAAATTCTTCTTGACGTCATTGTTACTGTCATGAATATTTATGACCCGATGCAACACCCGTATGTCAATCAAAAATAGGTTACAACAAATTATATTGTATTGTAACATAGCCAGAACTTCATAGTAGGCTATGAGCCAGACCCCGGATTTTTTTAGCCCCCCGGCACCAAAAAAATGGAGGAATTTTCATAGTGGTTATTAGTGAGGCCGTTGTCTCCAATATTCAAATATGTGGGATAACCTTCTCAATCATGTAGTTTTTTATCTTTCATTACACCTTATATAGCCCCACCCCACCTGGAGCAAATGCTTTTTTCAAATGGTGGTACGGGAGAGGAAATGTTTACGATACCAATATGGTAAAAGATATATCAATGAATTATATATCATTACGGAGGCAAGGGATAGGACAATCAATATCATCAGTCAATGTGTGAGTCTAGGGTCATTGCTAATGGGTCAAATGTAAAAAGAGGTCAATGTTAATGGATTTTTGTCATAAAGTAAAACCAAAAGTTCTTTTAAAATTGTTTGAGTAATAAATTGGTATCACTCAAACATTTTATTACTCAAACAATAAAGTGCTCGTCAATTCAGTGAACACAATGAATTGTTTTCCATTTAAGCAATATGAAGAAATTGCTTAAACATTTATTTTAAAAACTGGCAATGCATATAATGTAAGTCACTGTCTAGGAAAAAAAAGTTGACCAGAAAAAGTATATATTATTTTACCGAAGACTTTTAAAAACATCTGGGTCGGCTTTCACAAAACGGGGAAAGAAAAATGAAATCAATAAATACACGTAATTAAATGAAATAAATGAATATTTAAATGAATCAAAAATAAATAAAACACAATCAAGTTATGACAGCACAAATTAGTAGAATAAATACACATAAAATACAACAAAATGATATAGTTAAAACACATCAAAGTTATGGCGGCTCATTTAAGTACGAATTATGTCCCGTAAGACGTGTACTTTTAATTTCGAACGATTGCAAGGTCAGTCAAAGGACAAATAATATTTCACTTCATCACAAACAAGTCTGCGTTTTATGGTATACAGTTTAAGTGTTTTAATTCAGAAAAGAAGAACAACAAATAACATTAAACAATACAAAATAATGCCTTCCATTCGTTATGTCAAAATGATTTCATGAGTCCATTCGCAATCCATACAACTTTATTACCTGTTGATATAACACGATTAAGTCTGAAACACAGAATTATATTAATAGTACAATTTCAGAAAGTCCTTGACCACGGCTGTCAAAGCTGCCACGTAGGTGGCACGTTCGGATGTACGCAAGGCATACGGTGATTCAATCTGTATGGCATCAATGGAGTCACCATAACGCGAACCATACGTCTTAACTGTGTAGCCCCCACTGTAGAAGTTCCCTGATCCGGGTGACATGTTTCCCGGGGATGGAACAACCTTGTACCCGTGACTACTCAGTAAACCGCCGAAACTGTTGGTACCACGTAGAAGGGCGTCAAAATTCATGCTTGTACTGTGTCTGTTGTACAAGGAACGGATGGAAGAAAGTGCGGGTTTGAGATCGTCCGTATTTAGACGACTTTTGCTTATCAAGTAGCCCAGTTCAATCCACTTCTCAGGGTGGCTTTGCCCGTGAATGTCAAGGAGCAGCCCCGCACCAGTGATGTGGGCACGTGCGTCGGTGATAAATTTGTGATATTCGTTATATGCTGTCACGGCAGCTGAAACGTTGAATGCTGCCTCCTCAGTGTCTCGATTGGGGTCCAATTTTCCTAAAAAATTAACGAGGTCCATTACTCTTATAAAGTAGGGGTATATTCATATTAGCTTGTCGATA